TAATAAAATTCTCAGTCAGAATTCAAAATTCAGGTCAGAGCAGCAAAATTAATATTCCACTTGTTCCACCGATGAAGTAGTGATCTTACACTGAGTTGATAGCAGTATTTACACAGCTGAGGTATTAGCCTGTGAACTGGCTTCCAATTGGGTTTTAGAGCGAATCAAAGTGGCTGTGAGCCACTGAACTTGGAAACTTGAAATTATGAAAGGGTGTTATGAGGCATTGCTCATTAAGGTTACTCCAAACCTTCGCGGGGCTACTTTTTCCAAATTTTCTTTTTTCCAAGCAAATTGCAGTTCATTATTCAAGGTAACATTTTCCAAAAAAATGAAAATAAAATATCAAAACGCGCGCGAGTTATTAGGAAAAAGAGGTTTTTTTAACAATAGTTAATAAACCGTTAAGGTGTGGACTCCTCAGCGACCTTTTCGCGGTAAACGGCTTAATCCAGAGATCCTATATCAAATACTTCATGTCCGTCAAGAGTACCTTTTTGTGATCACACTGCTCCTCAGTTTCTTTTTGTTTTGTTGCACATCGCTTTTCTCCTTTTTGCCCTTTATTATTGACCACCGGCCTAAAACGTGACGGTAACACTATCGCTTTACCGCGAAGCTCAACTTTCCTTACTGTGAACGCTAGGGGTTCTGTTATTTCCTTGGCTGGCGTCATTTTGAGTTGACATATCCCTCTGAGAAGGCGTGACATGTTTATAAATCTTTAGAAGGCGAAAACTTGCACTCGTTTTTCGAGAGAATCCCTCCTCTTTAAATGAATTAATTGGGTATGTAGAATCGACGGTTTTCCTTGAAATTTGGCCAGAACATTTACTGACAGATACGGGACAAAAACATGTCGGCGAATTCTTTTGTTTCAAATACTTTTGTCGTGGCGGTCTCTAACGGAACCGTTTACGCGAATCTTTCGATAGTGGAACTTGACAGATCTATAAAAAGATAACCAATAGAAATGAAAGAAAATGCTGACACGCTTTGAGAAATTGATGCTTTGTGATTAACACTGCACAGTTTTTTTTGCCTCAGCGATCGCATTTGATACCTGATTAATTCGCCGGAATTTCAGTCCGTCGTTTTGGCGTTGACGGCTTCTGCCGCCTTAGGAAAGCAGTCGGCAAAAAGAATATAATTTTATCGAATTCTACATTTTATAGCCTTTCTATTGATATTTAGTAGAATTCTACCAGTATACTAATGCAAATGCTGCAATCTGATTGGCTGAGCTACTTCGGCCTCATCAACTATCACCTCATAGAAATCTCGAGCTCATAATCTAATTGTTAAATAGTTTGTGGGGGTTTCCTTCAAAACAGCGTGCGTACGCATTTTTTTCTGGAGGACACCCGCGAAGGTTTGAAGTAACCTTAAGGAACTAGTTGTGATGTGAGGGCAGTCTAGCTTTCGAACAAGCCCATGAAGCCTTTTTCCATTCAGGGGTGTGTCGTGATATTTGTAAAATGAAAAAGTTTAATGTTAAGAAACTGTTTGTTACTCAGGCCTGCCTACACAACCTCGTTCCCAGGGTCTTTTCAGGTTGCAGCCTACACGGTTTACATTACCTGTATCTGTACATGTCTTCCTTGTGCTGTAGTCAAAAACGGTAAGATCATTTTGT